GATCCCGGCTCATGCTCTCTTGCTCTCATGCTCGCTCTCTCTCAAATAAATAAATACAATCTTTTTTAAAAAAAAAATGACAAGGAATAACAAGCATTGGTGAGGATGTGGAGAAAGGGAACCCTCATGCACTGTAGCTGGAGAATGTAAACTGTTGTAGCCCACTGTGGAAAACCATATGGAGGTTCCTCGAAAACTTAAAAACAGAAATACCATATGATCCAGTAATTCCACTACTGAGTATTTACCCAAAGAAAACAAAAACACAAATTTGAAAAGATATATGCACCCCTATGTTTATTGCAGCATTATTTACAACAGCAGATGTGTGAATCTATCCCAAGTGTCCACCAACAGAAGAACAGATAAAGAAGATATAATATGTATGTACACACACACACACACACACACACTGAAGTATTACTCAGCATAAAAAAGAATGAGATCCGGGCTCCTGGGTGGCTCAGTCGGTTAAGTGTCTACCTTCAACTCAGGTTATGATCCCAGGTCCTGGGATCTAGTCCACGTCAGGCTCCCTGCTCAGCGGGAAGCCTGCTTCTCCTGCTCCCTCTGCCCTTCCCCCCGCCCACTTGTGCTCTCTCTCAAATAAATAAAATCGTTAAAAAAATGAATGAGATCCTGCCATCTGTGACAAAATGGATGGACCTAGAGGGAATTATCGTAAGTGGAATAAGTCAGAGAAAGAGAAATACCATATGATTTCATTTCTATGTGGAATCTGAAAAAAAAAAAAAAAACCCAAAACATATGAACAAACAAAAAACCAGAAACAGACTCATAAATACAGAGAATGAACTGGTGACAGCCAGGGAGGGTGAGGGGGAAGGATGGGTGAAATATGTGAAGGGAATTAAAAGTACAAACTTTCAGCTATAAAGTAAGTCAGTCCAGAGATGAAAAGTACAGCATGGGGAATATAGCCAATAATATTGTAATAACATTGTATGGTGACAAGTGGTAACCATCCTTATCATGGGAAGCCCTGGGTTATGTATACAATTGTCAGTCAGTTGCACACCTGAAACTAATATCACACTGTATGTCAACTACATTTCACTAATACCAAAAAATAAATTAAGTGGCTTGTTTTTGACACACAGAAGTACTCAAATATTTGTTGACTAATCCCAAACTAAAAAAGAAGTTGAAAACATCATTAATATGGCTCCTACTTAGAATTCTGTATAAATGACAACCATTTGTTAATTTAATCCCTTATTTTGCCAAAAACTGTCATTATAAGAACAGCTCTTTTTCTAGTTCCTTGAGTTCAAAGTGTAGTTCATGTATTTTAAACTGTCTTGTTTTCTTAACATACACATTCAGGCTATAACTTTTCCTTTGAGGATCTATTTGGCTGCATTCTACAAGTTTTGATATACAGTAACTTTATCATCATTTAGTTCATATTTTCTATTACTTTATATTTTCATTTTAATCGCATTTTAAAGGATATCTTCTCAATTTCTAAGAAGAAGTTTTTGGCAATCTTTCATTGTTAATTTCTAATTTTACTGCATTAAAATCTAAAAGGTCTATATAATTTCTGCTTTTTGGAATTTATTGAGATATGTTGAAGGCCTGTGGAAAAATGACATTTCATACTATGTTTAGATTTTCTTCTGTAGGCGGGATATTTTACAGATCTACAGTGATCAAGTTCCCAAAGGGAAAATTAGGCCCAGGAGTCCACAGTTTTCTAAAAAGCAGGAGAACATGGATGTAAGAGTGTGAGGATATGGTGGTCAAAGGACAGTGAGTTCACTTTAAGGCTCAAGTGAGCAAATTAATTTTCCTGTAACAAACATATTGGTATAATTTAAGAACAATCACAATTTTTAAAAATATACAGTTTATAAACTTAAGAGATCATACTAATGCAATTATAATCTTGATTTCTCCAACTATCAGTAAACATAGAATTTTACAACTAAAGTAATAAAATATAGTTCATCTTACAAAAAGCTTTGTCCTATCTGACTCTTCCATGACGGTATTTCTGTGGTTACCAAAATATAAATGCATTACTGAGAAAGGTAATGATTTACTCCAGCATCATGGATTTCATAAGGCTTCTCATTAAATACAATTTAAACTTACATTTCCATGCTAAGAAGTTAAAACCTATAATTTCTAATTACCATTGTATTATAGTACATAGCAAAGTTCTTTTTTTTTTTTTAAAGATTTTATTTATTTATTTGAGAGAGAGAGAATGAGAGACAGAGAGCACATGAGATGGGGGAGGGTCAGAGGGAGAAGCAGACTCCCCGCCGAGCAGGGAGCCCGATGCGGGACTCGATCCCAGGACTCCAGGATCACGACCTGAGCCACAGGCAGTCGCTCAACCAACTGAGCCACCCAGGCGCCCAGTACATAGCAAAGTTCTATGAATGTTCCAATTATGGTGAATACAACATGACCACTTAGTGTGAATTTACTGTATGTCTGATACTATTTGAAGTGCTTTAAGTATACCAACTCATCAACAATCCTTTGTGGTAAGTATTATTAGTATCATCTCCCTCTTATGGATGAGGAAATGGGGATAAGAGGTTAAGCAACTTGCCTAAGATCATATAACAAGAAGGTGGCAGAACCAGGATTGGAACCCAGGTAGACTGGCAGCAACCTCCATCTGTTATGTGAGCATACCTCTTTATGAAATTCAGGTATATTATCTCTGACAAACAAAATGAAAAATAACTTAAAAGACAACTGAGTTCAAAGGGTCAAATTATGACAGTTAATGTCTTCCTAATAATTATTCATATTTAAAAGTTCAGGGGTGCCCAGGTTGCTCAGTCAGTTAAGCATCTGACTCTTAGTTTTAGCTCAGGTTATGATCTCAGGGTCATGAGATGGAGCCTGTGTGGGGCTCCCTGCTCAGCCTGGAGTCTGCTTAAGATTCTTTCCCTCTCCCTCTGCCTCTCCCCACCAAGCTCTCTCTCTCTCTCTCAAATAAATAAATAAATCTTTTTAAAATATAAAAAAATTAAAATATTAATTTCTCATAGACTAATCTCACTAAACAAATAAAAGATAAGCAGGCCTTAAAAGAAATACTAATATGGGGTGCCTGGATGGCTCGGTCAATTAAGAGGCAGACTCCTGATTTCAGCGCAGGTCATGATCTCAGGGTCCTGGGATTGAGCCCCATGGCGGCCTCCACACTCAGCAGGGAGTCTGCTTGAGGATGCTCTCTCTCTCCCTCTTTCTCTGCCCTTCCCCCCACTTGAACTGTCTCTCTCTCTCTCCCCCTCTCTAAAATAAATAAATAAATCCTTTAAAAAATATTAACATAAAAATTACAACAACATAGACCCATGGGGATTTATGAGGGTAAACATATATATATGCATAATAAATCCAATTTATTTAAAGATAATCTTATTAAATACCTATAATTATTTAAAGTAATTTATTGAGCTTATTAATTCTAAGATTTATCAGCCTCCTACTTCTGTTATGAATTCCAAGTTTCAAAGGGTTTCACAAGACCAATTTGATCATGCAAAACAAGGCTGTCACAGACATTTTAAAAGTAAACTGGTATGTAACAAATGCTTTCAATGAAATATAGTATTTTAGTGGTCTTACTTGCCATAACATTTTAGCTAGTAGTAATACATTTTTAAATACCTTACCTTTGAGAATCCAAGTTCCACAAGTAATCTGTCAGCTACAAACTCAATATACTGTTTCATCAAAACACAATTCATTCCAATGAGGCCAACTGGCAAGGCTTCTGTTAAAAACTCCTGAGATATGAACAAAAACAGAATAAAATACAGAGATAGAAAAATAAATACATATTTTCCAAATAAAAACAGGATTTTAGTTTTTTAATCTTCTAAGTCCCTGAGGAAAGTATACTAGGGTAAATTCTTTCAATATGGCAATGTCCACTTATTTAAAAATGTTTGGGGTATTACTATTCACAGTATTTCACATTCCCACATAGCCTAAGCAAATTGAAACTATCAAACTACTGGTATTTTACACAGTAGCATTATGGGACCCTAAGGCTTTCTCCATCAAAAAAAAAAAAAATGAGATACTTTGTTCTGAAATATCTGGAAAAAGATTCACCAAAGATGATCACTGTGGGGAACATGATTATGGAAGGGAATTGGGAAAGACAGAAACACACTTAACAAAGAAAATGAGAAAAAAATAAAAATGGATGTGGGGGTTGGGAGATAAATTGAACTCCATCTACATTGAAAGACAGTGGTAAAGTGTTAATAGGAGAAATATAAAAACATTAGGGCGCCTGGGTGGCTCAGTCGGTTAAGCGTCTGCCTTCAGCTCAGGTCATGATCTCAGGATCCTGGGCTCAAGTCCTAAATCGAGTCCCGCATCGGGCTCCCTGCTCAGTGGGGAGTCTGCTTCTCCCTCTGCCCCTCTTCCCCACTTTTAAAAATAAAAAAAATTAAAATAAAAACATTAACCATTTCAATTTAATTCTCAAAATGATTAAAAATACCAAAATGCATTTTATGCATTTTCTCCTTCCCAATATGAAAACCACAGCTGTTGAACTATACAGTATTTTTTAAAAAAGAGTTTAGAGAATTTATTTTTTACTAAATAAGTCAAGCAGAGAAAGACAATTATCATATGGTTTCACTCATATGTGGAACATAAGGAATAGCATGGAGGACCACAGGGGAAGGGAGGGAAAATTGTGAAGAAATCAGAGAGGGAGACAAACCATGAGAGACTCTGGACTCCAGGAAACAAACTGAGGGTTACAGAAGGGGTGGGGATGGGAGTGGGGGGATGGGGTAACTGGGTGATGGGCATTAAGGAGGGCACGTGTTGTGATGAGCACTGGGTGTTATAAGCAACTAATGAATCGTTGAACACTACATCAAAAACTAACTATGTTGGCTAACTGAACATAATAAAAAAATTTTTTTAATTTTACTTTTGAACTAGTTCCTTCAAATGATAAAAAAAACATCCTAAGTGGAACATCTAGGTCTTTGTAGTTAGAGATTTTTACATTCTATATATTAAGTTTTACTATTCGCTAATTCATTGATTTACTAATTCTATAAACATTTAGTTCACGCTTCAAGCTAGATACCTTGCTCGGTTTTGAAAATACAAAACAAACAAGAAACCGTCACTGCCCTTCAATAGCTGAAAATCTAAAAAAAAAATTAAACCTTAAGTAATTCAAATAGTTTGCTATGGCACAGAATGTGACAGATCAACGAGACAGAAAAAAACAGTCCTGAAATAGATTTTCGTATACGTAAAACTTTAACATATAACATTTACTTACAAACCAAATTATAAACTGACATAATAATTGAAATGCATCATCTTTTGGTACTGTCAGGTTGACTATATAATTGCGGATATTTGCTTTGACCTACAAGTGGCAATTTCCTGAGTCAACCCAATACAATAATGGTACAAACATCAGAGAAAAAAGAGAATATGCTAATCATACAAGCTTCCCTGCTTACCTGCTCAATTTCAACAGCATTAACAATGATCTCCCTGACCCTTTCTTCTGAAGGCTTATTTACTAAGTATTGAAACATCAGGCAAGCAAAGTCACAGTGAAGCCCCTAAAATAGAAGAAAAATACCATTGTCAAAGAATGTTTAATCACCTATTTTCACACTGTCATGTGTCAGGCATCATAGAAAGTAGGTTCTAGGAATGCAACACAGAATTTCTAGAAGCTAGAAGAGGGAGTCATGGTACCAGGAACTACTTTCCCTCAAATCTTATTAAAATGCCAATTATAATAACCTATCATGAAAATTTTTCAGTGCCAGCAAGTCTTAATTTGTCAACATGAAAGATGAATTATTAACAACAACAAATCTGCAACCAAAATCATTTTGGAAAGGAAAACAAGGCAAGGGCTGAAATGAAAATTCTTTCATTTCTAATGTCTAAAAAAATTAAGAAATGATTGAAAACAGTAAGTGTGTAAAGAAAGGGTGAAACTCAGATTTCAAAAAGACAACATTTATATTAAATAAGAATGGCTCAAGATAAAAATAAATTCAGTGCAATGAAGACGGAAAGAATTAAGAATGCTATTTGAAGCTGTACACAGCAGAAATGACACTGCAGATAACCAAAGAAGAAAATAAACTCGTGAAGTACCTTGAGAACAGAATGGTTATGCAAATGCAAGAAATGGGATAGAGCTTTAAATAGAGAACAGAGCAAGGAGATCCAACCTACAATAATAAGGATTCCAAAACACAGAACAGGTGGTATAAAGCTGAAAACAACAGAAATAATTGCAAAAAGTCAAAACAAAAAAAGAAAGAGGCCAGAGATGAAGCAGTGCCAAACAAAATTAAGCTAGAGACTGTAAAACTAAGCAAGGCAGAATCAATGAACATTTCTAAACTACAAAGAAAAAGAAATAATTTTGTAAGCCACCAAGGGATAAGGAGGATGAAGGAATGTGCACCTTAAAGGATTACAAATCAGTGTAAGCTTGGGTTTTTCTAAATAAATCAACAAAAGCCAAAGACAAATGAAAGATAAGACTCAAATCAACGGTTGTATTCCAAGGATTATTTTCCTAGTTATCGTTCCCAGAAGAAACCATCAGAAAAAAACCTCTCTGAACAGATAATCTTTAGAAGATTTGTTAGGCAAACATTTTTCCCAGACTGGACTCAAGAGGACACTTCAAATTACCAAAGGCTGAATATCAAATAAACCGTGAAAGCTGTTAAAGAAAGTGTTGATTAGGACTGACAGCTAGCTACCTATTACAGAGATGAGTAAATCAAAGGTAGGCACTCATATTGTTAAATCAATAAGTGAATAAAATTAATTTTGAGGTTTAAAGCAATTCCAATCAAAATCTCAATAGGATTGTTTTTAGTTAAAAGAATCGGAGACTAGAACTTAATTATTTGAACAACTAAAAAGAAAGGATAATAGGATAATTAAGTAACGTCATAGAGGTGCCAATTATCGCTATAATATAAAACAAAATCAACAATCATATCACAATATATAAATGTAGAAAATTAACATGTTATATATCTTAAATTTGCATATTATATGTCAAATGTATTTCAATTAAAAAGTCAATCTGGAAGTATAAATGGACAGAATCTTGTAAAAACAGTTTTAATAGGAAAGTTATGAGATATATACTACTAGTTATCAAAACATAAAAAACTACAATAATTAAAAGTGTTTGGGGGCACTTGGGTGGCTCACTTGGTTAAGCGTCCCACTCTTGATTTTGGCTCAAGTCATGATCTCAGGGTTGTGGGATCAAGCCATGCGTCAGGCTCTGTGCCGGGCATGGAGCCTGATTGAGATTCTCTCTGCCTCTCCCTCTGCCCCTCCCCCTCCTTAAAAAAAAACGTTTGGCACAAATTTGACATATAGGTTAATGAAAAGAAAAAAAATAGCCCCCAAACAGATTTCAGTACGTTTAAAAACCTTAATATATAATAAAGAAGACATCACAAGTCAATGGAGAAGGATGGATTACTTAACAAAGAGAACTAGAAAAATTTCCTGAGTGTATGAAATAAAATAAAATTCTCACTTATCCTATACTACATTTATATTAAATTCTATACTTACACTAAATGAAGTCCAATTATATTACAGAGCTAGATGTTATAAAGTCAAGAGGAAAATAGGTGTGATTACTTAACTAATCTCTGAAAGCTGATCACTAATTTCAGGTTTTTGTATGTTACAAGAAAAAATAAAATTAAAAAGCAAAAGACTGGGGTGCCTGGGTGGCTCAGTCGTTAAGTGTCTGCCTTTGGCTCAGGTCATGATCCCAGGGTCCTGGGATCGAGCCCTGCTTCGGGCTCCCTGCTCCATGGGAAGCCTGTTTCTCCCTCTCCCCCTCCCCCTGCTTGGGTTCCCTCTCTCGTTGTGTCTCTCTCTGTCAAATAAATAAATAAAATTTTAAAAAAAAGCAAAGGACAAACTGGGAAAATATTTGCAAAAATATGACAAAAATATTTTATATTATATTCATACAATAAATATAACAAATTCAATAAATAAACACTTATTGAAAGAGCCCTATCAGTCACTATGCACTAGGAATATATATCAACAGAAACAGAGGCAAGAGACAAGCATAGGTAAATACAGAAAAAGATACAAATGGCTAATGCCATTATGAAAAAAAGTTCACTCTAAGTAGTAATCAAATAAATGCAAATAAAACCAACAATGAGAAACCATTTACCCCTATCAACTTTGTCAAATATTTAAAACATAAATCCAAATTCTGGTGAGGTTATGGTAAGAAAAGACATGTTCATATGTTGCTGGGTGGGGCTTTCTATCAAATTTCTGGGAAGAAATCTGCAAACTAGTATGAATAACCTTCAAAATGTTCATACCTAATAACATAGTAATTCTACTTCTAGGCAATCTAGCTAAGGAAAATAATATGAAATTGGGATAAATCTTATACACAAAAGATATTCATTTTACATTATAGCAAAAGGAATAAACAAAAAACCTGGAAAAAACCCTAAATTTCCAAGTTTAGAATAGTCAAATAAGTGATACATTGTTTCATTAGAATATTATATATCTAACAAAACTACTTTTTTAAAAAACTACTCTTTCCAAAAAATGCTTGATTTCATAGAAAAATGCTCACAATGTTCTGTTAAAAAAACTCAGCTCACAAAAATATGAAAAAAGAATATTTCAAATTATAAAATTATGACATTCATATATATCTACATAGGTTTAAATGTAAAAAACTGTCTAAAAAGAAATACAATGAAATACTAAAAGTGCTTATCTCTGTTAAGATTGAGTGATTTTATTCTCTTAATTCTCTATAATCACCACATACGACATTTATGATAAAAATTATTAGAAACTGAAAGGCAGGGGGTGCCTGGGTGGCTCAGTCGTTAAGTGTCTGCCTTCGGCTCAGGTCATGATCCCAGGGTCCTGGGATCGAGCCCTGCATCGGGCTCCCTGCTCCTCGGGAAGCCTGCTTCTCCCTCTCCCACTCCCCCTGTTTGTGTTCCCTCTCTCGCTGTGTCTCTCTCTGTCAAATAAATAAATAAAATCTTAAAAAAAAAAAAAGAAAGAAACTGAAAGGCAGGAAACAACAAAAATTATACAAAGCATTTTATGGCACTTATAAACTATTTTCACACATACCGGTTCATTTTATTTTAACAAAACCCTGTCAAGATTTATAGTTGAAGAAACTGAGGCTCAAAGAAGTTAGTAACTTGACAAGGTCACTTAGAAATAAGCTGAGGGGCCAGGATTAGTGTGGTCAATACATGTGAACTGAAGGCTGTGATGGGCTAAACCCTGAGAACAGGAAGAAAAATAAGACACGGTGCCTGCACACAGGGCTCAGTCCAGCAGAGGAGAGAGGTAAGAAGTGCAGTACACGTTATGGACTCTAAGACAGGGGCAGATTCCCGTTTCAAAGGAATACATAAAGGAAAGAGGGGTCAATTCTATCTAATTGAGTCAGGGAAGTTTTGAGTTGCCACTTGTAAGAAGGTGATCAACAGATGAGAAAAAAAACAAAGGCAGGAAGATGGAAACATTATCGCAGGCAAAGGGAGATAAGATTTAGTTACTGGCTGGATGTGGCTGAGAAAGAAAAAAGCAATCTAAAATGACTCCCAGATTTCAAATTTGGATGATTGGTTAGAAGGTAGCACCACTGAATGAGGCAGGGAAAACAGAAGAACAAATCTGGGGAGAAAGATGACGAGTTTGATTTCTAAAACATTAGGTTTGAGATATCTGGAGCCTTTCAGGAGAAACTAACATGCACTTGAACACCTGGCTTTGGAGCTCAGGAAAGAATGTCTGTGCTCAAGTTTGGGTTGTTTACGAGCATCTACATGGTAGCTGATCCCACGGAAATAGATAAGATCAGCCAGGAGGTCATGCACGGTGAAGAAGAGGCCAAGGTGGGAACCCAGGATTTGGTGATATTTAAGGATGAGCAGGGGAGACTGAGGAGGGACAGTAAGAGGCAGGAGAAAAACACAATTCTTAAAAACCAAGGAAGAAATTACTTTCTATTTTCTTTTAATTACCAGGATATCTGTGTCATCATCAGCATTTTCCAGGGGAAAGAAAAATAAATGAACACCAAATAGGAATACAAATATAACTAGAAGAATACTTCATTCCTTACTTCATCTCTGCTGATGAGTTCATTGGAAAACGTGAGTCCGGGCATGAGACCTCTTTTCTTTAGCCAGAATATAGCAGCAAAAGATCCCGAGAAGAAAATCCCTTCTACAGCAGCAAAAGCCACCACTCTTTCCCCTGGGAGACATAAAATAATTTTATTTCCTGAAATACCACATCCTGTCGACATTTGCAAACACTCATCTATAAAATACACATATTTTTACATATATTTATGCCAATATCACAACTATTTTGCCAAGAAACAAAATCAACAAATTAGTGCCATGGCCAAGGGTCTTCAGAGGAGGAAATATGCCACCTCTACCTACTACAGCAGAAGGGTATGTAGGTATGTCTACTTCAAATCTTGTATCAGACATTGGACTCCTATCGGTCTTGGTATCTGGACAAAGGAGAGCTTTCCCTACTCAGAAAAAAAAAGAAGTGATTTATCCGTGCACCACACATGCCTATGAGTGTAGTATGTGCACGTAAGTGTGTGCATGTATTGGAATAGAGAGTAGAAGATAAGATTTTATGACAAATGTCTCCCTCTTTATGGTTGAGGAAGGGGAGGTTGCTGAGGTTTTTATTTTTAGAAACCTAAGATATCTTACAGATTAGCAGTAAACATTTCAAAAAACATTGCCATGCATCTGCAATTAAAAAAATATGACTCCAGCTAAAGAGAATAAGTATACCTGTTGGATAAAATATCCCATCACATAAGCAAAAATACTATCTTCTGCTAAATATATAAGGCCCAATTTCAAAGGTTACTCACTGTTAGGCAAGGACTTTTCAGAAACCCATCTCCTAAAAGGTCTATAATGGAGCCATATCTGTAACACTGTCTCTAGGGGTTGATTATAAATCTAACCCAAACAAATGTCACCACATTGCATATGCTCAAGAGAAATATTTATATACATGTCTGTCTAGGGAGAAAGGTTTGGTCTCCAAGACTACGGGATAAAGGCAGCTGAGTGCTTGAACCAACTACAGGCCTGTTTCATCAATAACATCATAGCTTGTATCCCAGTACTGCAGAGCAGGTGCTTGATAAATGTGATCTGAACTGAATCAGTGAAAAATATCTAAGCACTAGATGATAGAAGACATTACTCTTCATTCTATGAAAACTGCTAAAATCTGATCCAGAATACTTATAACTTCCAGAACAAAGGTAATTATAATATTTAAATTTCACAAAGAAAGGTGACTTAAATTTAAATATTTCTTAACTGTTTCTGGCAGTCTCTAAATAGTACTCTGGTTTGTCCTCGCTCTTTTCCCTGATTATCTTAAATAAATCAAATCGGATCAATTATATCAAATACTTGTCTGTTAGTAGCCCAAACCATCAGAAAAACTTCTATAGCATTTTATTTTTACAGACACAATTTTAAAAGTCACGTTGAAAAAAATAACAGAAGAAATGTAAATTAAATAAGTACTTATTGAGTATATACTGTGTAGAAGGAATTATTATTATTTTTTTTAAGATTTTATTTATTTATTTGAGAGAGAGAGAATGAGAGAGAGAGAACACATGAGAGGGGATAGGGTCAGAGGACGAAGCAGACTCCCTGCCGAGCAGGGAGCCCAATGTGGGACTCGATCCAGGGACTCCAGGATCATGACCTGAGCCGAAGGCAGTCGCTTAACCAACTGAGCCACCCAGGCGCCCAAGTAGAAGGAATTATTAAGAGAAGAATCTTTAGTGTACTATATACTAAATACAAAATATAATAATAAATCACTATGGTCTGCTGATTTTTGAAAACAAAACTGGCTCTTTAGACTATATTTTTTAAGATGAAGATTTGTCCTTATTTTAACACATAGATTACTATATTTTAATCTTGCTATTAGTAAGATAATGGATAGTTACAATTGATATATTCTTCATTGTCATTAAGGTAATGTTATGTGCACATTTAAATGTAAAAGAACTAGATTATAATACAAACACTGTATTAGCAATATTGATTCAATCTATGAGCATGGAATATCTTTCCATTTATTTGTGTCTTCAATTTCTTTCATTAATGTCTTAGAGTTTTCAGTATACAGGTCTTTCATCTCCTTGGTTAAATTTACTCTTAGGAATTTTATTCTTGTTGATGCAATTGTAAATGGGATTGTTTAATTTCTCTTTCTGATAGTTCATCATTATTATTATATAGAAACACAACAGGCTTCTGTATACTAATTTTGTATCCTGCAACTTCACTGAATAGTTTTTTTTATGGAGTCTTTAGGGTTTTCTATATATATCATGTCATCTGCAAACAGTGAGTTTTACTTCTTCCTTTCCAATTTGGATGCCTCTTTTTCTGCCTAATTGCTCCAGCTAGAACTTCCAATACTATGTTGAATAAAAGTGGTGAGAATGGGCATCCTTGTCTTGCTCCTGATCCTGAGGAAAGACGTTCAGCTTTTCATAATTGAGTATAATATTAGCTGTGAGTTTGTCATATATGGCCTTTATCATGTTGAGGTATATTTCCTCTATACTTGCTTTTTTGAGTTTTTATCATAATTGGATACCGAATTTTGTCCAATGCTTTTTCTGCATCTGCAGCATGGGTTTGCCCTGACAGCAAGCAATATGGAGAATTTACCTGGAGCCCCGCTGTTGTCCCATGGTGACTGCCACCCTCCTCTATTTTCTCTCTCGCTTACTTTCTTTGGTAGTTACAAAATACATGCTAGCTGCAAGCCTGTTCATCATTTTCCATCGGTACCTATCCATACTATTTTCAATGCATATTGAACACCTTGATATTTCTCTCCTTTCTTCTTTAAAGCCAGTGTTTCTCAAACCACTTGTGAGAAAATCAGCTGGGTATAAAATGCAGATTCCTCAGTCCTACCTGGCCCTCCTAAATCACTCTCTGGTGAGGACCAGGATTCTGCAGGGGTTTTCTGCAAACTCTCGGATAATTTTTATGCATATTGAGAACCATCACTTTTCTCATTCTTGAAATGAACTGAAGGCAATGCAAACATATCTATTTCTTCCCTGATATCTAACAGGCTTGCCCCATACCTTACTCTACATCACTGGTTCTCAGCGTGTGGTCCAGTGGGTCCCTGCAAATCCACAGACTGAGGAGGTCTATGGGGTCAAAACTATTTTCATAATAATGCTAAGGCACTATTTATTTATTTTTTTACTACCTTTCTCGCATGAGTGTACAGTGGTGATTTCCAGAGGCTACATGACATGTCCACAATAATCTGAGAAGCCTGGTAAAATAGCCTTCCCTTTTCTAACTACACATCTGAATAAGACTGGGTTTTCTTCATAACTATACAAGAAACTACAACAATATTCTGCAACAAATTGAATGTGGAAGCAGATACAATCCAGTTGTCTTCTATTAAGTCAGACATTTTAAAAGCAAAATTTGGGGGATGGGGGGATGTAGTGTTTTTTCACAAATATGTGTTATTTATAATAAAATATAATGGGTTTTTACTATACTTTTAAATGTATTAATAAATAATTTTTAAAGTTTGTTTTAATTTCTAATATGGAAATATCAATAACCCACACCAATAGGAGAGTCCTCAATAATTTCTGAGTACAAAGAAGTCCTGAGACCAAAAATTTTGAGACTTGCTTTCTCCATAATGAATAAAACCAGAAAGTAAAGACCACTAATTACAAAATAGATAAGTATGAGATAGGTACTTAGAGCTATTCAAATGAAGTATCTGAATATTTTAATTAAATAAATATTTATTGAGCAACTTCTATGTATAGTTCTTCAGAAACTACATATTTGCTCCCTGAAAAAAATGTGACTTTGACTTGCTTTAACTCCCTTAAATAAAAATTCATGAAAGCAGAGACAAACTGTGATTGCTACAATATTCGTGTCAGATTCTAAGTGACTTTTATTTACCTGTAATTATGTACTGACATCTTAACCTTTCAACTTTCAACTTATTAAACAAAATAGATAACAGCTTTAGATTATTTTAGGAATAATGATTCTACTAAAGGTGGACGAGGAGACATTTGTACTCCTTTTCCATTCTGGCACTTTGATTAGTACCTGATAGTCACACCACATAAAAAGTGTTATGTCAACTGAGGCAAATTTGATCATTTTTAAATTAAAGCTGTTTACCAAAAGTAGATTTTCTATCTTCTATCCATCGTAAGGCCCAGTCTGCTTTTTTCTTAACATATGGCATTGTTTCAATCGCATTAAATAAAAATTCCCTGTAAAAACAAAAGAATGGCAAAGTTATTCATTTGTTTTTCTTAATCAGAATAAATTTTCATTAGTTTAATCATCAGTAATAATTGCAACCCTATGATATGCTATCAGATCTGCTGTTTTTCTGTATTTTTGCATGTCCAGAAAGTATAGAAATAAAACTAAAATTCAAAATAGTGATTTGGATCTGGTTTGATACAAAATTGACTAAAGTCAGTATTCAATTTCTAAACAGAATGTGCTAATAAACAGTTTTTATACTATAATATCCAAAGATGAACTGGTTCTGTACAAGCTTTTTTAACCCAACACATTATTAGATGATAGAAAACATTTGAATAATTTTTCCCTAACATTTGGTTTTGGAGTAAATTCTGCTCTTAACATAAGCAATAGCATAAACCTTTGTAAATAAAATCCCAGTGGTAATACCTTTTCTTGGGATCTCTGATGTAAGTGTCTATTAGCAAACTGTACATCTCTGAGTGAACATTCTCGATGAGAATTTGAAAGCCATAGAAACAGCGAGCCTCTGGAACCTGTACCTCCTGACTAAAGCGCTCCACCTACAAAAATAAGGGAAACATATCCAATTCTGTGGACTCTCATTAAACACGGCAAATCAGAATCTGGACACCAGAATTATCACTTAAAAATTACCTGTCATGCCACAGAGAGGTTACACACAACTTAAGGATTATTTTAAGCAGTATTATCTATCAATCCTCCACAATAAATTAGTTGCATAATGCATTCTTAGGCAATTAAATGAATTGACCTAATAGGTGGAGATACTTCCTATAAAGCCAAGTAAATTTCAGAACGGCAATCAAAAATTCCTTTGCTTTGTAAAATTGACCTTAAGTCTTTATTTTCCCCAACAGCAGACAGATCGATTGAAGCCCCTTCTAATTCATGATGAAAGGTTGTATCTTTCTCTCTTTAATAAGAAAGTATGCCTCCTGGCCAACCATGATACAAGTTTAAAAATGGGGAGCCAGAATGCAGTGCTTTATTACAGAGCTCCAGAAGGGTTATTAAGGTGCAGTCTTTCTATTAAGATTACTATCTACGGGTAAAAATCAAATTCATGTGTTTGCATTGTAAGTAGTTTTGATTGGTACAATATCTTGATTTCATGATATTTTGCTGGTCAAATGGGAGAAATGTACCCTTTTCTCTGACACTTCACCAGAAAAATATCTTTGAAAGTTAAGCTATATCTAGTTCATTTCTTAGAAGTCATTTTTCAGGCTTAGTCTAATTGTCTTACTGCCATTATCATCATTTAGCTGCTGAATGGGAACAGAAATACAACAAAAATCTTACCAAATTTTCATTCACAATTCCATCACTGGCTGCAAAAAAGGCTAATATGTGAGAGATAAAATACTTCTCATCCGATTTAAGCTTGTTCCAGTGAGGGAGATCCTTTGATAAGTCAACCTGAAATAAAAAGATTTTCAAAAATTTTAACTTGGTGTTTAATTCTTCAAGTGTTTGGAAAACTAACTTCCATCTCAAAGTTAGGGATGGACAACTCATTAGCAGTAAAATGTGAAAGAGGAAAAAATGTTAACATAACTGCTACAGACTGAATGTTCATGTCCTGCCCCCACCCCGCCAAATTCATATATTTGAAACTAATGCCCAATGTGATGGTACTTGGAGGTAGATGGAGTCTTTGGAAGGTGATTAGATGAGGGTGGAGCCCTCATGAATGGGATTAGTACCCTTATAAAAGAGTCCTCAGAGAGCTTCTTCACCCCTTCTGCCATGTGAAAACACAGAAAGTAAACAGCTATCTCTGAACTAGGAACTGGGACCTCACCCAATACCAAATCTGCCAGAGACTTGATCTTGGAATTCCCAGCCTCTAGAACTGTGAGAAATAAAATTCTGTTGTTTATAAGCCATCCAGTCTAAGGTATTATTGCAGCAACCTATAACTGACTAAGACTATACAAAGGAACACAATAAGATAAAAGCATTTTGAAGGACTCTATATTCTGGCTAACTGAGGCAGAATAAACTAATGACTTTCAGCAACCATGGCTTTAACACGATATATGATACTTACTGTAGAGTTAGATTAGTTACCTATTAAGCAATAGTAGCTGCTACTTTACTGCCAGCTAATCTACTTTTATACCCAGAAAATAATATCAGGCATGTAACAAACTAGGTTTTAAAGCAACTTACAGGTATGGCTTCCTCTGGGAATAGAAATATTTTTGAAAATGGGGAGCCTCTGGGTGGCTCCAGTTGGGCATCTGACTTCAGCTCAGGTCATGATCTCAGGGTCCTGGGATGGCGCCCCCGCGTGGGCTCTGAGCTCAGTGGGGAGTCTATTGTCCCCCTCCCTTTACCCCTCCCCCTGCTTGTGCTCTCTCATATAAATACAATCTTAGAAAAAAATGTATTTTTAAAAATGTTTATTAGGGGGCGCCTCGGTGGCTCAGTCGTTCAGCGTCTGCGTTCGGCTCAGGTCATGGTCCCAGGGTCCTGGGATCGAGCACCAAGTCGGGCTCCCTGCTCAGCGGGGAGCCTGCTTCTCCCTCTCCCATTCCCCCTGCTTGTGCTCCCTCTCTCGCTATGTCTCTGTCAAATAAATGGATAAAATCTTAAAAAAAAAAATGTTTATTAGAACTAGTCCTTGGAATTAATAGAGTAAGGCACTCTAGAGTTTGATGGAATCTACAATTTAAAATAGTATTTAAATGTACCTTATAGATATTATTTTGTCTTAGGAAGATCTCTGAAGTATTTTTCACAATAACTTCATAAACATTTGAAATATATAGTTGTCCTTTGTCCTTTTATTTATTCTAACAAAGCCTTAATCTCTTTAACCATTCCAAAAAGGATTAATGTTTCATTATTTGTGTTCCTTTTTGAAATTCTTTTTCCTGTTATTCTTCCTCTTTATTCTTTAAATGTTTACTGAGTACCTATTACATGCCAGACACTGTAATAAGTGTTGGAGAGGCACCTGGGTGGCTCAACCGGTTAAGCATCTGACTCTTGATTTTGGCTCAGGTCATGATCTCAGGGTGGTGAGATCAAGCCCCACACTGGGCTCCACACTCAGTGGGGAGTACGCTTGAGATTCTCCCTCTCCCTCTGTCACCCGCCGATCCCCCACTCTCCCTCTCTCAAATAAATAAATAAATCTTTAAAAAAAAATAAGTGTTGGAGATACTGGGGTTGGGGGGTTTACTTGTATGTATCTTTTAAAACATGCAAGCTAAATATGAGGTCCTATTCCCTTAAGAGCTCAACTCAGGGTTAACTGAAGGACACCTTCCTAGTTTTTATGTGTTATACTCCTGATATTAAATTTTATATTATAATATGCTCACTCTTAAATATTAAACTTACCTCTTCGAACACTCAACTTCAAAAAAAAGTCTTATAAATTTCATTTATACTACGTTGGTCATTTCCCATTCTCTTTTTTTTTTTTTTAAAGATTTTATTTATTTATTTGAGAGAGAGAGAGAGAGAGACAGAGAAACAGCATGAGAGGGGATAGGGTCAGAGGGAGAAGCAGGCTCCCCGCTGAGCCG